ACTTCACCTTTTTTGGCTCATCCGTGTGAATTTCCCAACAGCAAGCACTGACTGCTCCCAAGATGATATCCGTTTCACAGGATTAACGAGATGCTCGAGTTTGGCAATACTTCCGGTCTGTTCTCTTCCAATCTATTCACCCAGGCTATACTGAATTTCCATATTTTAGACAATCTGTGAGTGATGTATCAACTGCATCAATTACAACGGCTATGGACTTACTAAATCAAGTTGCAGTCTTCTAGTCACATTGAACCCGGGACTCCGAAAACGTACATGCGCGCTCTATGGTGTGCACAGATACGGTCATATCCCACACCAACTTTTGGCGTGCAACTTCTAACAGCCGCTTTAGGGCGCAGTTTTTGGAACGCCTTGAAGTACTCACGCAATGACGGGTATATCCTCACGGGAACCTGGTTAGCGGTGGACTAGCGTGGGGCTCGTTCTTCCTTGGTTGGACTACCCTATAAGCACCCGAGACATCGTGACCTCTGCCTTCCTTTCCCCTCGTCGACAATCACATCCGAGACCAACCCGACCTCCGTACCGTTCACGATTTTTATGACCCAAAGGTTGTAGCATTATATCATTCTACGACGCACCCTCGACCCTAGCATTTTCCTGGCAGATATGAGGTGCGTTGCAAGATCAATGGTATCTTAGCGAACGCTTGACGCAATGCAATTCTCCAGTTTACGAAACATGGTACTTTGGTCGTTTTTAGTGCTCTACCTTTTGAGTCCCGCCCCTTCAATACGCTCGCCGCTCCTTCTACCTGGTTCTTCTGTTTCCTATTCGGGCTCTTTGGCATTGGCCATACTCGTCAATATCACACTCGACGACACATCGTCGCTCATAACCTATTTGCCCGCCAGCTCGTGGCATGCTTCAACAAACTCTTGTACGACATGCCTCACCCCAAGCGAACAACTTGCATACGCTGGGACTTGGCACGATGGCACTCATATTATTCCGACTGTCGACAATGACGATCAATCTGGTACACAGACTGACGCGGACGATCCACCGAAGCCTGCTAGCAGTAGCTTGAAGAGACCTGCCTCTACTAGTAGCTCCAAAGCACCTACCGCGACTGGCAAAGGTGACGACGATGGCGATGGCGGCGACGACGGCGACGAAGACAAAGGTCATTCTAGTTCGGGTAAAGGGAAGAGGCGGCGTGTGGTGGAAAGTATTAGGGATCTTGCATTGCGGAGGCGCCAAGACGTCGATGATAACAACCCCTTCTTCACGCCAAATCTCGATAGCGACGACCCTGGCTTTGTGGATACTCCTGTCTTGGCAGAATTCAACTTCACTGGTGCGTCACGTCGTTGTCTTCTGTCGGTGTTTAGTGGTGCCTCGTTTTACCGAAGAAAATTCCACTTGTGATCTCCACGTCGCGAATAAAGTGGGCTGACCGGATGATTCTCGTACTTGTCTAGGCTCCGCAATCTACGTGTACGCACTCGTCCCCCTGTTCGTTGCAACCTCCAATAGCACGCCTACCTTCGTCAACCTCTCTTACACCATCGACTCGCAACCGGCCGGTAATTTTCTCCACGCGGGTTCACCTTCCGTGAGTCCCTCATCAAATACTACGTCCTACCAGCGAGGTGTTCCTGTGCTTGCGAAGACCGGACTCTCGGAGGGGCCTCACACCATCACGGTGAACGTCGGGCCGGACTCTGTTTTTCTCCTCGACTACATCGTGTACAGCCAGGAGGACGATCTACGGACAAACGTGAGCAGTACTGAAGGAGGCAGCTCCTCGACCACTGGTCCGCCGACAAGTTCTGTCACAAAAAATGCCATGCCAAGCGCAGCATTGAGCCAGTGCGTAAATTCCGCGTATACTTCGGGTCCATTAGTCCAATCACTGACTTCTTATCTCCCATTCGCTGTTAACTCTCGGCCGGCGCTCTTCTCTTTCTGGAATTCAATTGAACACTTGACTTTTTATGATTCGCTACTCCCCGAACACCTGTTATGGATCGTGTGTGTGGATATCTCCTTCTTCACTCCTCACCCATCTTCCTACCCACCTCTTTCCCTCTTTCCCTCTTGCCACCACGTCCCCTCCTTGACCTTACTTCTTCATCGTTGAACCCATCCATCTGCTGCAATGCATATTTCAACGATCCTTTCTAGGTCGGTGGGCACGCACTCGTCAAAATCGCACAGCGTCGCGACTTTTGCTGGCGCAGTGGGCGGCTCAGTAGGGCTTCTATCTGTCCTGGCCCTTTTCCTGGCATTCTCCCTCTATCGTCGTCGAGTACTTGCTCGCCGCCGAGACCGCGCGTATCGCGAGGCTCGTCGAGATGCCGCCTCCATTAGCGAATCCTACCACACAGATGCTTCAGAGGATGGTCCTCCTATGCAGGGCCCATTACCATTTATACCAAGATACTTCCCAGGAACGGTTATTTCGACTGCTCCTCCACCATACTCTCCACCTGCACCGCCGTCGAATTCACCGACAAGTGCACTTCTGGGTCCTCCTGAAACACCTGTACCATCAATGATGTGGTCTTCGCGCCGATTAGGTATAATAGGCGATAGCGAGTCATATGCAGAGAGACCCCCGCCAACACCCCCTCCCAATGGTAGCGGCTTGGGCGCGGACTTGGATGATGATTATTTTGCCCCACCTCCTTCATTCCCCATGGCGATATCGACGCCTATACCAGCGATACTTGCAGGTCTTAGTGGTGCCCCAATTGCCTCACAGTCTCCTGGACCGAGATCGCCTACGCCTGCTTCTCCTGTGATTCCTTTACTAGCACCTCCACCATCGTCACGCCCTCCAACACTATCACTGGCGGACCAGAGCCCTGGGGCTGGTCCGTCTTCCTCACGATCACGCTCGGTGTCTATAACATCCGGCCGGGCATCGACACACTCCCTTCGTGTCCCCACTCAAGACACGGAAGAGCGTGTTCTTACAGAGACAGACGCCAGCTCGATCGTACACTCACTTTACGATTCTGATCGACGGTCTCTCGAACGAGTGGAGTCGCGATATGTCCTTGGGTCTGGGACGATACCTCAGGGTGACCGGGAGATGCGAGGTCAGAATAATAGAGGCAATGACAATTCTACACTCCTGTAAAGGCTTAATTGTATAGTACTTGTAATGGTGAGTTTCGTTGTACCTTTTGTCTCCTACCCAATTCGCTATCGCTGTGCATTCAAGACAGGGCATAGCTCGAGTTTGTCTTGCGATATTTTGCGATGTCCGAAACGGATTCCGCAGGACCCGAGCCGGAGGACGCGTGAGAGTTCTTTTCTCACGACGTCCTCACCTGGTCCTTGGTTCGGGTGTGCGATGGACCCTGTCCTACGGTTCCGCATCTTTCTCATAGCTGTTCCAACTCGAGCGGTACGGCAAGTCTCTGTGCCTGTCGCGCCACTCACTGCGCTGCTCTCCGTGACGTTCGATTGTTTGAATGACGTTCTACTCTCACCCGGACGGACCATAGCTGACTCTCTGCTTTGTGTTCCAACAGATTATACCTGTATTCATTTATGGAACTTGTGGTCTCACGTGTATGTCATAGATATTTACCATCCCATCGAGCTGCTATATCCGGACATTAATGTGTGGCGTACACCTCCCCTGCGATTGGTTGCTCTTAGAGAGTGTGCCTGATATCCCATCACAAGGCGGGTGAGTGTGAGAGGAACCATAAATCGACGGGTGTCCCATGACCAAGAAACAACGGTAATTCACTTGCTGACAACATCCACTACTTTCAGTTTCAAAGGCTATGGGGCCAGCATGCAAGTTATCTGGTATTGTCAACGGCAGTTGCTCCAGAGCGTGGTGTGCCATCATTTCCCTCTTCCTGTAATGGATCTGATCCTGACATGCCACATAGAGTTGTATGAGAACGTTGCACATGATGCGATAGCAACCGTATATGCGTGATGGTCTACTTCGGTGATCCTCCAGCTCACAGCACCCTGGTTTAAAGGTAGGATTTAGCTCGAGGACTCGGACGATACCTGTTTACTGGATTTTTACTCTTCTTCCCAGAACGTCACTATGCGAAGTTACAATGAACTGCTCGTGTATGGCTGAGAAAAATGGCCCTACTGTGGACGTGCCTGTCTTGGAGCGCGAACTTGATAGGCGGAGAGCTTTTAGCCCGGAATGCGAACATACAGGTGTGTTTAGACTGCGTGGTTTCAGATCAGTTTCCGAGGACGATGGGAGAGGACCAAACTCTCGGGATTCAAACCGCTCTCGACCCATCCGCAGCTTCAGCGATGTACGTGCTTCATCCAGTTTGTCGGTACAGGTCTCAGGAGTACCGAAAGTGCGGGCGGCCAGGTGTATTCCTTCGGGAGTGCCTGGAGAACTATGCCATGTTGTTGGTTGTCGAATTGTTAGTAGATGCTCACCATAATCCTCGCAGTGTAGTCTATTCTGAGTGCTGTGGTCCCTCGGCACACGTATTGAACGCTGGATGCCGAATATCTCTAATGCAGGGAATCATGTTCGAGAACATTGCGAAGTTGCAGCGGTTCGAGTCTCCAGAGGGGCGAGACGGGTCTCTGTAGCGATTGAAACCGCTGCAGAATCGTTGCTTGGGAGCTTTCCCGATACCAGGATCGACTACTAGATGTCCTGAACTCTGCCATGTCGCCCCAAAACGACCGACCGTGCCGCTATTGACGTCGGGCACTGCACACACGAGATCAGCTCCCTGATCGCCCAAACTTCGAGTCTCGCTAGCATGACTCTTGATCAACACGCCTCTTGGGGCCAAGGTCCATTCCCGGAAACGTTGCTGTCCTCTTCACTCTTCACCCTCTCTCCTCTGTCATGCAGAGAGTCAACTACTTGCAAGATGAAAGATGAATTCTACTTGCTAAACGGATATCCTGCCTTCTTTCAAACTATAAGAATGATGTGCAATGTGTGACACTTGAGTATGATTTACATTCATCTTTATTGACACCTCGATGGATGGAACCGACAAAAAAAAAGACTCCGATACGGGGAGTCGAACCCCGGGCTACCGCGTGAAAATCACGTGATTTATGAAAGGCGGTAATGTTAGCCGTTACACCATATCGGAATGTAGAAAAGAGCTTGTCAAATGACATTGGTAGTTCAGGGTGGGTGCGGTGTCGCAAAATTGCGATCCAAATAACCGAGTTTGTATGCGCGTCACAGCAGTCACGATGGGAAAGTGTTTCAATAGCTGCAAGAAAGGTATCGTGATATGTACGCATCAGCCTGCCAGTGGTATCTACACGGTTTGTAGGCAGCTGACTCTCTGCACAACAGACCAGAGAGAGTATGGAGTGAATGGGACAGCGACGTTGTTGAACGCGGGGCACGCCTTTCTCGTCTACGATGGCCCCTTGTCTCCCGAATTATCTTCCCCACGACCTGCTGATTCTCCGCGGACACCAGAGCTTCTTGAGGAATGCCCTCGCGCCGCATGCCCCTCCCCTCCTCTTATCCAAGCCCATGTCCAATCTCCCAGTCGATGCCGTGCTCTCCCTCTCAATACACAGAGCTCTGGGCACGCACCGCATACGCAAAGATATTGCGCAGAATGGGTCAGTAAAAGAGGTCGTGGATGTGATTAGGTACGTAGAATAGTGGATTGTACTCGACCTGCGTGGCAGCGATTGCTGCATTCATCAAGTTGCAACCACTCTCAATGAACGCGCCGACGTTTGTCGAAATATATCCCGTTTAGTTCTTCCTGCTCTGTCTGGCCTCCGCCTGTCCAGCATTTTGACAGTCGATCCTGACCATCACCAATTCGAAATGCTCGCGCCTTATATCTGCATCAAGAGTATGGTCAAGACACTGATGCTGAAACCTCGTGGTGCAAATATTTTGTTGATGGGATAGGAAACGAAGATGATAGAGAAGGGCGGGAGGTTGAAAGAATGCGACAGCGGCGATCTCGGTGCACATTTGGGTTAGTTGGGACTGTTGCATGTACATCGGATTCAGAAGTAAGCTGTATTCTCATGATAGATTGTGTTGTTGATGTGTTGAAACAAGTAGGCTCGAGTGCTGTCTCATGTGGGATATGCAATATAAGGTTGAATACTTATGATATTTCATTCAGAGTCAAGGCACTTGTCATTTTCTCCTTCATCCGTGCCATAATCACCGTTTCTTAATGCGATACCTGTCACTCAGTCAACGGTGCGTTTGCTGGTGCTTATTTGTATGACATATTGACTGATTTTTGGCATAGATAAGACGGCGATATTACTGACGTCACGCTGGGATATATGATACGGCGAGAATCTCACTGCGAATATGTGATATATCCGGTGCAACAGGTTTGCTATTTGTTATTCATTCTGTGGACAGGGCGCGAGACTCTATGTTCTTTCATATAGAGAGAATCTCTCTGGGAATTTTTCTTTTGTCCTTATAAATGTGTGAATACTGATGTTGTGCTCGGCTCCTCACACCATCATGGCTGGACATCACGAGACTTCTGGCGGCGGATACAGGCAATATCGAGAGCCGGGCATGGTAACAGAGGGGTCCACCGGAGCAGACATCGTTCTGCGCGAGGTCACGTTTGAGCAGTCGGCAAGCCTCCAGATGGCGCAGGAAGCAACAAGTGCTCACGAAGCAGAGCGGCTTGTTCGCGTGGAACAGGACCCTCAATACAGAATACGTGCAGCCCAACAGCCGTTGATGGATGCCTTTGCACGCACGACCATGATGCCGGATGGCAAGTCATCTTCAGGTGACGTACCCACGTTTAATTTGATGGCACCCAGCGAACTCCCAGATGATTTTGCTGAAAGGTTGGCTAATCCGCGAGTCAATCCCCGTGTCAAGGCAAAATTCCATGCCATTACGCAGTCCCCTGAAGAATTTGACGCTTTGATTGTGGAGATTGACGAGTTGGTCAATAATCTGTGCGAGAAAGGGAGCGAGAAGTCCATGGCGGACCGCGAGCGGATTCATCTCCAATGGGCTCAATTTGTTTTGCACCTGGAGAATCAGCCCCCACTGGATCATATTTGGAAGTACGAGATTGCAAAGAAGCATGTATTGCAATTCTTGCCATTTCTTGTGCATTTTCCTTGGCTTCTGTAATGATTTTCACTGATATGTTTCTGTAGTTGAAGACTACGCCTGGTCGGAAAGGGCGCAAACTAGTCAAGGCGTGCACGCTGAGACTGTGGACAGGACTTTTCATCAGCTGTATCATCCGATACATGTACGTTCCGACGGACGTGTCTCCGTTCAAACAGAAATGCGGGATGCGCTTTCTTGTGCACGAGGGTATCTTTAATCGTATCCAGAGCCAACTGAGTCAACGTACGTTATCTCTCCTACTAGGTCTATTGACCAGCCTAACACTCTGTGATAGTTGTTCAAGATTTCAAGCTCGAACGCCACGTTAATAAACGGGTCTATTACGGTCGTCACGAGGTCCGCCTGCTGATTCAACAAGCTTTGAAATCATCAGAGAACCCTGCGGATGGACGACGATTGTCGGCTATCCAGACAGTGGTGGCCATTCTTCTCGGGTTCTACATGAGCTCACGGCCATCCACCCTTGCACCATGCACCAAGAAATTGCTGGAGAATCATCTCGTGAGTGTGTGGATGATCATCAGGAAACTGAGCTCACGGCGTATACTTTGCAGCATCCTGATTTGCATGATATACGGATATTTTCACGTGAAGTCTCGATGCGCATGTCCAGCTCTATTCAGTCTGATTGCAAAAACTTCAAGGTATGTGTGCTGTGTTTATGATGTACCATTATGCGTTTGTAATGTGGATAGGGAGGGAATGATGTTGTCGCATTATTTCTGCGGTTTACAATGGACCCTGTGCAACGTGTACACAATGTGTTGTTCGATGTCGGAGTGTGGATGAAGGCACTGTTATTTTTGCGCGGAGCCTTATATTTTGAGGTAGGCATCCACCGTTCCATTTGACGTTGCTTGATTTGACGTTTGTAGACGGTCAAGGATTTGTTTGGCAATCAGGAGGCAGAGATCAGAATCTGAACAGAAAGGTTGGATGAGCCAGTGTAGGGACCCTTATGTTGTTTTACGCCGTGGCACGGTACTTATATTTCCAAGTTTTTTGGCTGTAGGGCTAGGCGGTCGTGGTTTCTGTGACCCACCGCGCGCGGCAACATCGAGCGCTGTGTTTAAGTGGGTTCAGCACCACGCAAAGTTGGCAGGCCTCCCCCAAGCAGGCCTGTATGCGCTGCATCGTGATGCAGGGAGTCATGTGCGTACCGTCATCATATTGGCATTTTCCGCTGTGCTGATGGTGTCAGTATGAGATGACCCAGGGGAGTGCGTTTGCAGCATGTGTCTTAAACCACAAGACGATGTCGTCCTCAAGTATGAAGGCATATTCACGCTTGACAGACAACTATGCACTTGTGCATTTGCGTCTGGATGAGATAAAGGGCCCGAATGCAGGCGCGGCGCAAGATGTAGGTTCCATCGTTGATATCGTAACAGATGCTAACTGGCAGGCACAGATTGTACAAGCACGTCAAGTGTTTGTGAGCCATGCAGTGGATTCGATCGTCCGGCTTATGAAGGAGCCAGAGGCTGTGATAAAATTGACGGATGCAGAAAAGGCAGCAATTGCGGTGAGTGAATTGTTCATCTGATAATGTGGAATATACAACCATTTTGCGCAGGGTGAAGCCGATCTTGTGTCACTCTGGACAGCTGTTGAGACTGCATGGAAAGGCTATGTAGGATGTTTCGAGACCAAGGCTAAAGACTATCGAGTGCAAAAAAATCAGATGAAGCCCGTCGCCAAGCACTGCAAGCAGATATCAGACCAAGAGACTGTGGCAGAGGTATGACGTCTTGTGTTTATATTTGACTGCTACTGAATGTGTGTACAGAGGGAACGTGAGACGATTGGCGCATTTGATGCGTTTGCAAAGCGAACGCAGGCTCGACGAAAGGTGGTGCTCAATGAAAAGAGAGTCAAATTTGGAGCCGTAAGCAAGGTGGCGCTGGCCGGCACGGTTCAGCAAAGAACAGAAGTGCAGCGTAAGCTGGAAACAGGAGCTTCGTCTGTTCTCGTTGGCGCATTGGAATCTTGGATGGGTAGGGGGTTTGAACTATTCTGCGTCCCAAAATCACTCACGTTTCACAGGCAGCAATAGGGCAACAGCGGAGATCGAGTGTAGGTTTCCAAGTTTTCATATGCACTGTATGCTGATTGTATCCTAGCTCTCCCCGATGTCGAGTCTTGTTATCTACGAGACGAGGTGCCGGCTATGCCGTCCATTGTGAATGACAGTCCAGAGGTGTGGGCTTCTTGGCGCAAGACAGTGGACGGTGTGTGCCAACAGAGCGCGTATGCATGGGGGACTGAAGACGACGAGATGGGCCAAGAAACGACTGAAGGGGTAGATAATGCCAACGCCGTCATGATGCGCCTGGAGGGCCTGACTGGCACGACGGAGGGTCATTTGGAGGAGAGTGGCGGAAGCGTAGTAATCGAAGCAGGCCATGACACAGAGACAGGTCCGTTGTCCTGCCTGCTCACGGATGATACAGTAGAAGAGGTCGATGAGAGCACCGAGGGCAATATCATCACTGGTGTAACATGTGATGAGATGCAGCAGGCCCTCTTCTTGTACATTGTCGGTCCTGTTCTGGAGAATCGCGAGGCACAAGCTACACGCGTGCAAAATGTATGTTTTTTTTTCAATCTGTGTCATACTAACTATGTCATGTATTTAGACAGGGGGCCAGTTTGTTTGTGATTTATGCATGCAGCATCTGCACATGCCGCTGGATGTGCAAAACAAGAATTGGCGGAATCTCTCTCAGCTCAATCGGCACAAGTGATTCTTTTGTTTCTATATTGTGTCTTGTTCTGATCTCTCGAGTAAGAAAAATGACGCACACGGTTTGGTATGATTTAGCCATCAAGATGCTGGACGATAATGGTTTCTGCTGTCCGAGTGACAAGTGCAGTTTTACGTGAGTTGCATTTTGCAATTCAACGAAATTTTTTCATAAACAAGAACAGGTCTACGAGTGTTCAACTTGTGCAGAAGCATTGCCTCACGGACGGCTGTCCAGACCATGCCGCTCACCAACTCATGGCAGATGCGCACAAGAACATCAAGAAATCTGTTGCAGCGCATGGCAGAAGCGACGGGGACACATCGCGACGTGATCTTGGCAAGAGACGGGAAATAGTACCCGCACAGGACAAAGTCGCAGAGAAAACCAAGACACAGAGAACCGCTTTCTTGGAATCTCAAGAACTGATGACAGATGCCATTGAGGTGAGTCAACTCGCAGACTTGCCGTGTTTTCTGTTGATCATTGTGGACGCAGGCAATGCATGTTGAATACCCAGAAATATTTGTAGGCTATGATATGGAGAACTATGTTAGGCAGGGATTTGAACTTTTGCATGAGAATGGCGTAGAGGCGATGACAGAGGCAGAGGCGGGATCGTCCACTTTACCCACTTGGGAGGCAATCTCGCTGGACTTGACCGGACTTTAATGCATGTTGTACTAGAATACCTAGAATGGACCAAATGGTGTACATGGAACGTACATAAGTCTTGTTGCTATGTTCCAGTATGGTGTAACAGCTAACATTACCGCCTTTCACGTTGCATTTGCGCGGTAGCTCAGGGTTCGACCCCCTGTACCGGAGTGCCTTTTTTATTTGAATGCACAACGGATACCCATTTTCACCCGACACATTTTAAGATCCCAACTGGTGAGATGACAAGTTTTCGATAAATTTTGGACTCGCCGCAAACAGCAGACTGCACATTTAAGCATGCTTGGTTCATCTATGGTTGCACCTCATTTTTTTGCATTTACATTTTGTATATACATTTCTAAACCACCAACCATTCTGCTACTGTACCTCCTGCGCCCTTCAACTTGCAAAGCTCAGAGCTGTGAATCCACGACGACATCGGGAGCACATGTATCTACAAGCATTTTGGAATGATGAACCGCCGCTCACGTCGATTCGCACGCCACCTCTTGCGCCCTGTACATTTCACCCTGCAAGTTGCAGGGTATCATCCTTGCGATCGCCATGACGCGAGTGACGGAACCCCAGAGACGAACGTGGGCACAAAACGCCCCCCTACGCGTATTCTACCGTGCAACATGGGCCTGCAGCGACGCGGCTATACCGACAGTTGTATACGGGCGGGAGGGAAGATGTGGGGGGAGGGGAGAGACATAGGAGGTGAGGAGGAAGGAGATGCAAGGTCCTATATATACACGTGGGGGCTCGGGGAATCGAACACGGTGTGTGGGGGGGAATCAAGTGTGTGGGCGGGGCGCATCGAGCTTGGGTTACGTTTTTGATTCCCTGCCGTACGGGGCATCGAGCGTTGCCCGGCGCTTCGCACCTGCGCGGTGATACGCCCCCTATTCTGTAGCCTCCAGATTTCGCGTTTCCCTCACTCGTTCGAACTCCCAACTCATGTCAGTATCTTTGACATTCGAGCAGGCAAGCGCCCATGACCAGGCCAGGCGCTGGTTCGAACCAGGAACTTGGCGCACCACTACATACGACATTACTGAACCCAACTCTTGGCGCCCGCGTTATTCGAACCTTTTCCTATCCGATCTTCGCTTGCCTAGCCTTCCGTTATCTTCCAGTAGGATTCACTCCCGCCCTACGGCCCGACCAGACCCAGTCTACCGAAAGTTCGAAAAGCCGCAGAATCGAACGCACGGTCTAGGCTCGCACCACGGATCACAGGTGGTCCAAGCACTTAGTGATGCGCCCCTGGCCATGAGGAGACGAGGCGGCGCTCAGTAGCCTCGAGGAGGAAGGAGTTATTGTATTCTGTACCAGGTACGGTGCAAGGACCCTCGGTCCCACATGTTCGAACCAAGTCGTACCTCATGCAACTTCACACTTGACCGTCCTTATTTCCCCGGTGCTTGTATCTATAGTACTATTCCTCATTGAGTCTTGTTAGGTAGTTCGTTGTACTTGTTTATCCTCTATTTTGTCACGGTTTCTGAAGTAGTATAAAAGACTCCTGTACTCTACCAAGAGGAAACAGAGACCTGTACCCCAC